TGTGTGTGTGTGTGTGTGTGTGTGTGTGTGTGTGTGTGTGGCCCTGTCAGTCGGGATAGGCTCCGCCCCCCATGAACCCAAACAGGGTTGAGGTTTAATGGCCATGAATGGACAGTCAGAAAAGAACATTTGTTCAATTCGGTGCTGACAGGAAAATCCCAAACTCTTAAAGTTTCATTTGGAAAGAAGTGACTCAACATCTTCAGAGTGAAAGAGGCTGTTTTGCTTGGCTGCTTATATAAATAAGTGCTTTAGCCGAATTTGGAGGAGAATCTGGAGTGGCTGTGTTGTTTGGACAAGTTGCCTCTGGGAGTCGTGTTCCCTGTGGGGGGGGGGGGGGCACTGAGAGTCGTGTTTACTTCATCTGCCTCTACTGGGATCTTTACTGGGATCTTTACTGGGATCTCTACTGGGGTATCTACTGGGGTCTCTACTAGGATTTCTACTAGGGTTTCTACTACGATCTCTACTGGTGTCTCTACTATGATCTCTACTGGGATCTTTACTGGAATCTCTACTGGGATCTTCACTGGGGTCTCTACTATGATCTCCACTAGGGTCTCTACTAGGATATCTACTAGGATCTCTACTGGGTTCTCTACGGGGGTATCTTCTAGGATCTCTACTGGGATCTCTACTAGTGTCTCCACTAGGATCTCTACTGGTGTCTCTACTATGATCTCTACTGGGATCTTTCCCGGAATCTCTACTGGGATCTTCACTGGGGTCTCTACTATGATCTCTACTATGATCTCCACTAGGGCCTCTACTGGGATTTCTACTGGGATCTTCACAGGGGTCTCTACTATGATCTCTACTATGATCTCCACTAGGGCCTCTACTAGGATATCTACTAGGATATCAACTGGGATCTCTACTGGGATCTCTACCAGGAACTGTACTGGGGTTTCTAGTAGGATCTGTACTATGATCTCTACTGGGGACTCTACTGGGACTCGACTGGGATCTTTACTGGGATCTCCACTCGGGTCTTTACTGGGATCTCTACACGGACTCTACTGGGATCTTTACTGGAATCTCTACTGGGATCTCTACTGGGTTTTCTACTGGGGTCTCTACTATGATCTCCACTGGGAACTCTACGTGGATCTGTATTGGGATCTGTACTGATAGCTGCCCTCTTT